AACTCGGTTACATGGTGATTACTTGGTAGAATGATGGGGTGTTTCAGGTCGGAGTCGATCGGAGCATTACATATTCGCCCTCCTACTCGCAAAATTCCATCGATTACGACTGGGTTTAGCTTCTGCATGGACTTGCCTCGATTTTTGCAGCACAGATTATCTCCAAATTCCTGGTGCTGAACAAGCTTAATTATTTCCATTTCTGCCTGTTTTAGTTCCTTAAGTGACAGAGTTTGAGGCAATGTACCAGCGTTGACTCCCTTTCTCTTGTTAAGTAGATATTTCTTAAATTTCAGCAGCCAAGCCAGTCCCTTCAGTAGCTTGGTCCAAGTTGAATACCTAACTATTACATCCATCATTGTTGCTCGGCATGCTAAACTATGTACGGGTGGAGTTTTGAACTCAAGATCTTTGTTATCGATGCTCACTGGCATAATTGGCCACTCTGTATCTGCCTTCCACAGGAATTCAGGACCTCTAAGCCACCTGCAATCCTCAGTGATCTCGCAAGCATGAATTCCTCTTGATCCCTCATCTGCAGGGTTTGACTTTGTGTCTACGTATCGCCATTGCGAAGGATCCGATACAGCATGAATCTTTTCTATTCTGTTTGCCACAAAGGTGTGAAAGCGTCTTGATTCGTTTCGAAAGTATTGTAACACAGATGTTGAGTCAGTCCAAAATATCACTCCTTCTACGGGTATCTCAAGTTCCTTTCTAATCGTTTCTAGTACAGCTGCCGACAATTCCAGACGAGGAATAGTCATAACCTTCAATGGACTTAGTCTAGTTTTCCCCAACACAAAGGCACAGTGAGTATTCCCTTGGCAAGTAGATCGCAATTACGCAACTGCAGCATATCCTCGTTGTGAAGCATCACAAAATACATGAAGATCATGCTTATGCTCTCCTACGGTCGGTCTCAAACATCTGTTTATAGAGACATTCCTCAACTGTGGCAGTTCTTCTAACCAATGGGTCCATCTACTCAAATCCTGCGAGCTTACCTCTTGGTCCCACCCTAAACCTTGTGTACAGACATCTTGCAGCAACATTTTCGCGACAAGGATAAATGAGGCCACAAATCCCAAAGGATCGTACACAGAACTTGTTGTAGAAAGGATACCTCTTCTCGTGTTTGGCCTTTCTTTAACCTTGATGTTGAATGTGAATTTATCAGTTTCCACGTTCCATGAAACACCTAGTGTTCGCTCAACTGGTAGCTCCTGTAAGTCCAAGTTAAATACTGTTGCTGCTCTTTCTGATTTGGGTATCTTCTCTAGAACTTGACGATCGTTGCTAAGCCATTTAGTCAATCTGAATCCCCCCTTAGCTAAGAGTTCCCTTAGCTGACTAGACAGTTCAATAGCCTCCTCAGTAGTTTTAACCGATCTTAAACAATCGTCAACGTAAAAGTTATTTCTTACAGTTTCTACTGCTGCAACGTTATGTTCTGATTCATTGTCAGCTGCTGTTCTCCGCAACGCATATCCTGCACAACTTGGTGAGGATGTGGCACCAAACAGATGTACCAGCATCCAATACACTTTGGGTTCTTCCGTGAAGTTTCCATTCGGCCACCAAAGAAATTGAAGAGCGCCACAGTCTTCAGGGGACACCTTTACCTGATGAAACATAGATTGTATATCAGCGACCAGCGCTACTTTATCTTGACGAAATCTGGTTAAAACCCCTACCAGGTTATTTGTGAAATATGGACCCCTCAATAGTTGACTGTTGAGTGATACACCTTTATATTTGGCGGCACAGTCGAACACTATCCGAACTTTGCCAGGCTTATGGGGTGATGAGGTAGAAACCATGTCTTGTTTGGCATTATTTCTTTCCTTTCTACAACAGGTTGCTTGGCCTTCACTTCCTCTGCAAACCCATTATCTATGTAGTCTGCCATCGTATTCATCATATTTCCATGGAAGCCCGAGTTGGTAGTGACCATTTACTTTAACTGTTGACTCTTCCATACAAGCCCTTGCTCTCTTGTCTTCAATTGATTCGCCTAACTCGATATCTTCAAAAACAGATCCACTGCTATCTGTCTTCCAAAATCTCTCCAATTGTTCCGTAAGTTGATCATCACCGTGACCACGTCGAGCAAAATTCACCTTGAAACTGGGTCTACCTTGCTTTGAATTGGTTGGTCCAATTAACGTCCACCCCAATGGTGACTCTGTTGCATATGGCTCTTTCTTACCACCACGCCTCTCTTCTATTACCCAGAATGCCTCTGGCACATCACTTCCTATCAGTAACATCACCTCTTTACCCTTTATGCAAGGGAATTTAATTCCATCAAGATGTTTCCATTTCCTTGTGTCTTCCTCTTTCGGCATACTACATTCTGTGATTGGTAAGTTCTCCACAGTCCATACCGAGTCAAGAATAACTGGTTCTGTTTGATGTAGTCCAGTAACTGTTAGACCTTCTAGTTCAATTCCTTTGACCTTTACATTTTCCTGGCCCACTGTAGTCATATGAAATTCCTTCTGTCTGCCTGTTATACCTAATCTTTGTGCTAGCCGATGGTCACACAATGTAACGTCACTGCTATCATCGAGTAACGCCCAGGTCATAACCTTCCTTCCATTACCAGCAACACTTACTGGCAGTAGCCTGAGGCACACCTTGCCACGTACAATGGTCGAAAGATTTGTCATATTGTGTGTTGCTTCACCTCTATGCAGAAGAGCATGGTGTTTCCATTTGCATCCATTCTTTACGGCACTCTCTTGCAAAATGTGATCTTCCAAAGCAGTTGTCACATAGCCTTCCTCTCCGTACAATTTGTAGCCTCTCCCTAGGGTTAGCTTTACCGAACACATCACACTTCTCAAGTTGGTGTTCTCCCAAACAAGCTGGACATTTCGCCGTTGAAGTATCTTGCTTGCGCACATCTTCTCCCCTGACAGCAAAAGTTGATCTCGCAGACTTACTCTTAATGGGTTGCACTTGCTTTCGCCTAGGAGACTTCCCTATGTTTTGGCCAAACATGTTATTTGCCAATCTAGCTGCTTCTTCGATAAAGGTTGTCATGCCTTTGAAGTCAGGTGCCATTTTTGCATCCATAACCGATTGAGCTTTCTTAGCCTATTTCGTCTGAACTATTTCGAAAACTATTCATATCTGCAGAATAAGACATTTGTTCAAGCACAGTTTGGCATCTTCTCATATCTCTGCCTAAGTCCCACATTCCAGGACCATCATTAGGTCTAATTTGGGGTCGATTCAAAACCTTCTTTAAATGGGCCCTTGCAATCAGATGTGGCTGTCCAAACTGTTCCTTCAGGATTAGCTTGGCCTGTGCGTACCCCTGCGACGCACAATTTTCAATGCTACTCTTAGCTTTACCTGTACAGAACTGAATAAGATAGGTTAGTCGGGCCCTGTCATCAGTGGCCCTACGTGCAATATTAACATCAAATGCATTTGTAAAATTCCAGTATTCAAATGGATTACCATCAAATGAAATTATTTCTGGTTTAGGCATATTAACACTAAGCCCCAAGGCTGTCTCTTATACACATCTAGATGTGTATAAGAGACAGGTTTGTAACTGAACGATGCTCTAATATACAGAGTACGGATACTATTTGCAAACATAATCTGGTTCAATTGTGCAATACGAGTTCAGTCCCGCGCTAATTTGTCAATGAATACCTTTGATTTGTAGGCAAATCTATCATGTTGCTCTGTCTTCGTCATCACTGTGAACTGAATCCAACTAATGATAGCAAAAGATCGTGCTGTATGTTTA